CTCTCTCTCTCTCTCTCAGATATTGCAAGTGCGCGTTATGCAGTGGGCACCGACTGGTAGAAAAATAAATCTGCATCTATGGCATGGACGACGAAACAAAACCTTGTCAGAGCCGTAATGCGGCGCAGAAGTGTGCAGTGTGTGCGCTTGCCGCGTGTCTACATTTGAAATAATGAACCTGAGCGCACAAAAGACGCGATGTGAATGGCTATGTCATGTGCGGGGCTCCATTTTTATGAGAGGAGAGGTTGAGAAAACACTCCAGGTAAATTTTGAAATATACCAGGTTTTTAATAAACCTAATTTCACAGATCTGTTGTAAGCAGATACACTGGTCTATCCTCTCCGTTTGTAATGCACAAGCCCGGCTTAATCAATGTTCAACTAAAAGCAGTGTAATATAATAAGTTCTCAGAATTTAATGACTTCAAAGACTACTAATACATTAGTCTTCGCTGATCTATGCATCTCATATTTGCAAAAGAAAACGTGTGTTAGTAGATGCTCCCGTGGGGAATATGGCGAATTCTACATTCTTCTAAGAACAATCTGTCGAGGCATGGATTCTTGTTTTAACATGAGATCAAGCTACAAATTAGACCAGCTGCCAAAACTCCTTAAGAACTAGTAGGCCGATAATTGAGTGCAATGAATAATCTAGAAAATGCCTACAATCAGCCAACAACTCAATTCAAACAAGATTGAGCAACAAGAACTTCAATCAGACAGAAAAACTGCATGTAAATATAAGATGATATCTCACAATAAACATGAGCTCCGTAACAAGACAGACTAAGGCTTAAACATTTGGCAAGATAGTTATTTGGTTAACAACAATTGGTACAATTATCTTATTAGCATTACAGCTGTTCTTATACACAATTCCTTTATTCATATAAGAACTAAAATGGAAGTACACAAAATCGTGGGATCTGATGGTCTTGTATCTCTGGACATCTGGCCTCTTTTCTAAATCTCTTTTGGTAGTGCTATATGCATTACTATATGGACATCTAGACCACCAAACTAAGCATGCCCTGTTTTCCGTTCTTTAAAATGGACTAGTGCCAAAGGAAATGCAGCCAGCAAATTGGCACACCAGGATATGTCAGGTGCCACTGACAGCTTCTAATGCATTATACAAATCACTGTTTATAATACTCAACCAGATTATTATACGAATAGAAACTTAAAACCCAACTGAACACCAGACAATGCAATTTTTGTTTCGAGAGCAAAGAAAACACCAGTCGACTCACCTTTTCACTTTTCACTTTTTTCACGGTCCTGCAGTCATTATTTTCCACTTCTTCTGGTTCACTCTTGATAGCCAAAGGTGTGACTATTCCAGTGGTATCAAGGGTAATATTCCCTAGTTGCTCAGCACCAACAAGGTCCAAATTTTGCATCCCCTCAAACGGGGTATTGCGTGCCTGGCCTAAAGGCATAACCTGTGCCAATGGGTCCTTTTCCAAGATCACGTTCCCAGCTTGCACCCCTTCGTTTTTCTCCTTCTTGCTTTTCCCAGAACCCTCCTTGTCTTTTTTTCCACTCTGAACATTACGGGAGGCTTTGTTACTTTTATCGGAACCTTTCCCGGAAGGTAAAGCTGTGGAACCGCTTCCCACGGTTGGTCCAGTGCCCTCATTTTGGGTCCGTCCCTGGGCATCCTTTTTGGGCCCATCAGGGATCGAGGACTTGCTACTGTCCTTGGAATTCTTGCTACGCTTAGCTTTGGATTTGCTGTCTTTGATTGGTGGAGGAGGCACCGGGTTAATGAACTTTATGTTGTCCGGCAATGCAGCTACGGCGCTCGAGGCAGCAGCCATTCCGTCCCCGTCCTTAGTGCCAGACATCTCAAGCTTGTCTTTTTCCAAGTCGGCGTCGAGGTCAATGATCAGGTTGCCTACACCAATATCCCACTCATCCCCGCTGTCATAAGTGTCCACCGCATTCGAGTCCACACCTTTCCCGCCTGCAGTGTCACTACTGAGGGACATCTTAGTGCCAGCGGCCCAAGTGTGCCACAGGGAGGTCTGACCTTTTCAGACGACTGAGGCGGTCGGGAAGCACATTTACACAAGCCTCAGGGTCCTGTTGGTTTCCCCTTCCCAGTAACCCACATTGTTGCCCTGGAGGGGTAAAAACAACAAGAAAATATGTAAGAAATGAGAAAATGTAGTAAAACACATTGCTTTAAGACCACCTGACAAGCACACTGCTCTTAGAAAACAGGTTTAGAAACGCTGACTTTAATTTTCAGTTCTCAAAGTGAATGTTTCAATAACATCAGAAACCTGTGAAGGCCCTAGATATAAAAGGTTTTGCAAGCTGTTCCCCTGCACATGAATTACAAATACATGGCGAGTAATCTTTTTAGACTAGAAAAATCATTTTAGATGACTCGGGACAAAAAAATACAGCTGAATCATGGTCACCATCAGTTCACAGCCAGAAAACAGACGTTGTATCACAACACACATGGAAACACTTGACAGACTGACATCAAAGCTCAACGAATGACTGCAGGAATCATAATGACTCAAACATGCCATTCGCTTTGAGACTAAACAGCATTGCTATTAATTTCCATACAAGTGAACATTAAAGATATTAAAGGTGCAGTAGGAGATCTTGGAAAATGCTAACTTTAGCCTGATAGCACTGAAAGCGAACGTCCCACCCTCCCTGCAATCGCCGTCAAAGGGCACGCCCCCTGAACGCATTTACACTCACAGACAAGAACACCAGACACAACATTACAATAGGCTACATCAGCGGTTCCGAATTCCAATCCTCGCACCCTCCTACTCTGCACATTTCATATGTATCTCTTATCACGTGCAACGTTTGTTCTATTCGACCATGAGTGCCCTGGGAAGTGTACATCACCGGATATTCCGGCATAATTCCAGTTTGAAGCGAGCGTATATGTTCCATACAAAGGGCATTAAAGAGTGCGAGATGTGAATTTAAATAGTATTTATTTACAGCGGTATATTATGTCACACTTCTATAGTAAGTTTCGTCTGTGTGTGAAGATGCTGCGCAGTGCAAATCCGTGAATGAATGTTCCGAAGTGAAGTAAACTTCAACTGATTTCCCCTGCTTCCCTTGCGCGAGGACTAGAATTGGGAACCACTGGGCTACATCATGTGTCATTCACCGGTGAGAAAACTTTATAGTACAGTTAGTAAAACTACTACAATACCATGAAGGAAGATTGGCTTGTTGATGTTTGTCTGCCATTATCGCTCTGTCTGCACAGCGTGTGTGAACGCGCTGATGACGTATCCTGTCTGCGAGAAACAGGGTGCGCAGAGGTATGCAAATACATATGTTGACAGGCAGGTAGGAAAGCCAATTAAAATGCTTGGACCGAGCGTTTTGATTGGACGAACATTTCTTGGTCCTACGCCTTCCACAGAATATATAAATACAGATAAAAACATTTAGACCACTTAACTTAATGATTGCTATCCGGATGTGAAGAGACTTTCAACCAGCATAACAAAAAATGTTCTGAAGACAATCATCTATTGACCTTTAAGGATGTGCTAAACTACATATTTTCAAAACCATCTATTCGGGGGTTGTCTGAATGACGGGTTGGTTTTAAGGCAGCACTATAATTAAATTGTTGTCCACCTGTCAAATTTCCTACACCAATCAAGGGATTCATGCAGGACACTTTTGTTTTTTAAATCAGCTAGACAGTTCACAACAGATTAAATAATAACACTGGGGTCTTTAAAATCAGTTTCTAAACTCATTACAACATCAATGCAGATTGAATGCAATGCATGCTCATGTCACTGAAATTAAATCTTAAATCTTAAAAATCTGATGCTAACATGATTTTAGCATGTTGACAGTGCATTTTACAGCTACTTTTGCAAGACAATCATCTCACGCGGTCATCATGCAAACCACTCAGCATCTCAGTTTGAAAAGAAATACAAGAAAATAAACATAAAAGATGAACTCATTAGTCAACTAATGTTGCTGCATGACAACTTAACTACTCCGTCTGTAGGCTTATCACTAAAGGTTAACCACAGTGTCAGAATATTACAGACAAATTTTCAAAACATTTAAATGTCAGATGTCCACCCCAGTTGGACTAAGTACAAAAGATCTGATCCGAAGCCAAAGGATCTTAAATCAATTAAAAAAAAAACATGCACATGATGCTGCAAAAATCTTGCAAAAAAAGCAAAACGCAAAACAAATCACCAAATTTTCAGTTAATTTCTTGTACAATTGTAATTTACAAAATTAAAACAACTTCTTGTACATGATTTGTTGTAAATGCTGTTTTGATGGCTGTAGCGACAGTACTTTAAAGATGAACTTCAAAGATACAATCTCAGACAGGACTTTAGTGTTGTTGTACACTGTCAGCATGCTAAACCATCTCAATTAATCCTCTTTAAACAAGAAAAAAGTAAACTCATTTAACTAGTTGTTGAACACTTGATGCTGGTAAACTTTTAAGCAACTGGTCTGGATGGCTGACTAGTCAAGTTTGCATAAATATTCAAAACGTGGTAAACATCAGATGTTCATCAAAATTCAGTTTACAAATGACTCGCTACTTATATGTAACTATAATCACTTTCCATGGACATGAATTACACAATCAACACTTTCCAAATGTCACTGATCTTTGGGACCTTTACATAGAAACAGAAATCTTTTTTAATGCCAAAGATGCTTAAAATCTGTTTTTCATTAGAGATTCTTAAGAACACCAAACAACCCATCAACAAACACAGATAACTAGTTCTGCTAAAAAGTTCTATATTATTAATTTAGTCTGAAACAGAAATAGAACAGACAGACAAAGATTAAAGGTCAAAGTCATTGCCCATAATACTCCAAAGAGGTCACATAAAAGACTGAACGAACCACAAACTGGTTTAACTGCACTACTACAGTTTGGCGGTTGTCTAATAAAACTAAGCGCTACTTAAGTTGAAAAGGATGAGTCCAGCTTTGAGCTGCATCTTAAATAGCCGAGGAGACAGATGGTTGAATGAGAGGACACTAATCAGTGCACCCTGTCTACCGGACGCGAGTGGCGCGGCGCAACAAAATACTATAGAACTTATTATAATCAGTGATGCTGTCTACACTGGATGCGGCACGACACGACATGAGTCAGCCATCCAGACCAGTCCCTAAAAGTTTACCAGCATCATGATATTATGCACAAATATTTAAAACATGACAAATGTCAGATGTTCATCAATATGCAGTTTACAAATTACTCACTACTTAAGTCACTATAATCACTTTCCATCGACATGAATTACACACAATCAACCAAATGTCACTGATCTTTAAATAGAAACAGAAACCTTTTTAATGTCAAAGAGGCTTAAAATCTGTTTTCCATTAGAGATTCTTAAGAACACTAAACAACCCATAAACAAACACAGATAACTAGTTCGACTAAAAAGCTCTACATTATTAATTTAGTCTGGAACAGAAATAGAACAGAGAGACGCCGATTAAAGGTCAAAGTCATTGCCCATTACACTCGAAAGAGGTCACATAAAAAGACAGTACGAACCACAAACTGGTTTAACTGCACTACTACAGTTTGGCGGTCGTCTAATAAAACTAAGCACTACTTAAGTTGAAAACGATGAGTCCAGCTTTGAGCTGCATCTTAAATAGCCGAGGAGACAGATGGTTGAATGAGAGGACACTAATCAGTGGTTTGCTGTAATCCGTCAGTCCACCAGGGAACATGGAGTGTGTCCTGCAGGAAGCTTTCCAAACGTCTGCCGTTGGAACCCAAGACAAGATGGACTTCCACTATCACAGTCATTCATCAGTCCCCTGCTTTTCTAGGCGCTTTCAAGAGCTTTGAGAGTAGAACTTCGAAAGATGCCACTTTTAAAAGCGATTAATGCAAACAACAATGATCCCCGACAGGTAAATTGTCTCGTCCTATTTATGAGGTACTGACACAAAGTTCAAATGTCCGCAGTTGTCACGGCGACCGTCACAGCCCTAAATGCCATAACACAATATCAATGTTATTTTAAATTATTTCTGAGCTACCATAACAGCATTTCACCTCATTAAAGGTAGTGATACTTGATGTTTAAATTAATGGTTCAACCGATATATCGACCTTGCCGGTATTTGCCCTTTTTTAATTATTTGCTTAAGCCAATATTTTTTCAATATGTCAGAAGAAGGATGCATATTTTGATGGCATACGGGACTTTTATTTTGACAGTGCTGAACAATAAAACACACAGAGCTTGCATTGTTCGTACATATCGGTCGACAATTACTTTAAGTACTATTTTCTATTGGAGTTTGAAAGTCAACTAGACTTTCAACTAGAAGTCGCTCATTGATTGTTTGGCTTCCTGAAGAGTCAGAGAAAACTCTTTCCAAACATTGATCTGCTCGTTTGAGTGTCCTGACATATCAGTTTCAGACTCAACCAATGATGATAGTTTTGGGCGGGTTTTTCTGACCAATGGAGTGTTTGGGAAATCTGTTGGGAAATAGGTCATTCATCAGTTCTCTGTGTTTCGAGACACTTTCAGAGTAGAACTTCGAAAGATGCCATTTTTGAAGGTGATAAATATAGACAACAACAATGACATAGCACAACACAATATCAATGTTTTTTTTAAAGGATTTCTGAGCTACCATAACAGCATTTTTCTTCATTAAAAGTGGAGCTACTTGATGTTTAAATTTGCCGATATTTGTCATTTTTTAAATTATCGGTGTTTTGTTCTTTTTGCCCGACATGTCAGAATCGGGATGTTTATTTTGACAGTGTGCTGGACTTTTATATGTGTTAGGCTGGACTTTGTTTTTCTGACCAATGGGGTGTTTGGGAAATCTGTTGGGAAATAGGTCATTCATCAGTCCCCTATGTTTCTTGAGACACCTTCAGAGTAGAACTTCAAAAGATGTCATTTCTGAAGGTGATTAATGTAAACAACAACACCGAAAAGTGTCTTCCATAATGACATTTTACCTCATTAAAGAGGAAGAGACTGGATGTTCAAATATTTTCTACTATTCAAGTTTAGAGTGATGTTTAGAGTCAACTAGAAGTTGCGCATTGGTTGCTTCATGAAGAGTTGAACAA